AGGTTGAAGTAATGAAAGTCATTATTAGGATGAAGAATTTAGGTATGCAAAGCAGAGTGTGAGGTGGAATGACAACAGACACAATCATATAAAGGAATTTCAGAGTTTGTAAACATGGATGTGGAACATGTGTGGGTGATGATAATATCAGTTGAATAACCTCTATGCATATCCCTAGTGGGCTGGAGGAATAAGCCATGAAAAATGAGTAATTGAGAATTGAAAAGTTATTTGAGGGAATATCAATATTCATGATGAAGTCCCATATTATATAGGCAGAATTTGGGGTGGAGTAAAGACTGTGAGAGCCAAGCACTTACAAGTACACTTACAAGTTCATCCTCAGGTAGTGTTATTCCAGGGGATCGGACAAGTGTGGGTAGCTGGAAGTGGAGAGTATATGTAGGTTATCCAGGAGGGACAAAGCAGGCTTTGTGGAGCTGTAAGTGGCCACAGATGATGCCTGCCTGCAGAGTGATAAAAAAAAGCAAGGCAAACTTGATTTCACCATGGTTTATGGTTTCAGAACTAGAGGGGAAGAGACAGCTAAAGGTTGGGAATGAAGATAAGCACTCCTGAGGCTTTCCTAAAATAGTGGCCAAATCAACAAGAATTTATTAAGCACTTACTATGTTCCAGGCAATGTACTAAGTTTGGGAATACAGATACAAACAGAAAGATAGTCCTTGCCCTCAGGGAACTTATATTCTAATGAATGGAGGGAAATAATATATATTTTAGAAAAGAAGAAGCAGAAAAGGAGAGTGAGAGAGAAGGCCCAGTGCAGAGACAAAGTCCAGAGAATCAGAAACAGTGTCTGTAGAGGAATGAAGAATATCTTGTCTGTGCACTTTCCTTAAAATGGAAGTTCTGGGAGGAACCAACCCATTGGTTGGCCCTGGGGCAGAGTGTATTTCCAGTGTAAAAAGATCAGGAGTGAAGTGCACTCCCAGGTGGAGAGGCTGTAGGAGCAGAGTGAACTTCCAGGGTGAGGAGGCTGCTGTGATTAGGTGGAAACAGTCCAAAAAAGTTATGAATGATGCTTAGGGAAGGATGAAGGTGCTAAAAAGGCAATCACCAATCAGGAAAGGAGGGTCCAAGGACAGAAATCTTAGCCTCCAGGGCATAGTCTCTGGTGTACGAGGGAAGACAGCTGCCCAATGGAGGGGATGGTTAGAGAATAGGGAGGGGCATTTATACAGATGATCTCAGGTTTGTTTTTTTTTAATTATTCTGATCACCTTCCTCTGGCTGCTCTCCAATTTGTCAATTTCCTCCCATAAATGTAGCACCCCATAGTCCTGCAGGTGTGATCTGACTACAACCTAGTATGGGGCTATCACTTCTCTCATACAAGGCGCTATGCCTTTTAGTGTACTCTGAGGTCACAAAATTTTTCTGGTTACCACATCATACTGTTAACTCACACTGAATTTGAAATCCATTAACATCTCCAAATCTTTCCCAAATTGCTTTCTAATCATACTTTCTCATTATTAAATAAAACTTTTAGAACCCACAAGTAATAATACATCTATCAGTATTAAATTTCATCTTAAAATGTTGAGGTCAAAATTTAAGCCTGTCAAGATCTTTTGAATCCTGTCATCTAAAGCTACCCCTCCTGCCTTTATGTCATCAGCATGTTTGTTAATTATGATCTCTATGCTTTTAACTAAATGACTAATAAAATTTTTAAATAGTATAAAATCAACCAAACACAGATCCCTGGGGCATTCCACTAGAAACTTTCTATCAAATTCAGTTGATGTTGACCCATTAATGATTACTTTTCAGATATGTTCATTCAGCCAGTTTCAAATCCCCTTAATTGTATAATTTGATGATGATGATGATGGGGCAGCTGTATGTCTCAGTGGATAGAAGATGAAACTGTAGTCAGGAAGACTCATCTTCATGAGTTCAAATCTAGCCTCAGATACTTTTTTGGGCAAGTCACTTAACCCCATTTTGCCTCAGTTTCCTCATCTGTAAAATGAACTGGAGAAGGAAATGGCAAACCATTCCAGTATCTTTGCCCAGAAAATCCCAAATGGGGACATGAAGAGTCAGACATAACTGAAAAACCAATGAACTAATGATGATGATGATGATGATGATTACAATTTATATAGCATTTCAATGTTTGCAAAGTAATTTCCAAATATTTTCTCAATCTTCACAGCAACTAAAGGAGTTAGGTTATTTTACAAATAAGAAAATTAGGAGTTAGGTTATTTTATAGATAAGAAAATTAAGACAGACAGAGGTTAAGTTACTTGCCCAGAGTCACTCAAGTAGTATTTGAGGCAGTTATTGAACTTGGATCTTCCTGAGTCCAGGTCTAAAACTGTACTCATCTAGTCTAGCACTCACCTGGAAGGATTATTGTGAAAATCAAATGGTATATTTGAAAAACACTTAGCATGGTGCCTGGCACATAGAAGGTGCTATATAAATGCTTATTTCCTGCCCCATTTCCCAATCTACATTTATCCACATTGTCTGTAACAATAGCATGAGAGACTGTCAAATGTTTTGCTAAAAATCTAGGCAAATTCTATCTATGGCATTTTCCTGACATACTGCACAAGGTCTGTTTTTGATGGAGCAGGTTCTTTGTCTAGGTTCAATTGCTATTTGTATGACCTTAAATAAATGGTTTAACCTCTTTGGATCTCAGGTTACTCATCTGTAAAATGATGTGGTTGAACCAGATGACTTCCAAGGTCTTTTCCAACTCAAAATCTATGTTTCTGTGAGTATCACTCTTTTTTCTAATATATGAGCACATTAATTCTTCCACAGGCACTTTCAGGCATAGGTTTAAGAGAAGAAACAACAGAGGTATAGGAGTGTGTGTTTGGATCATATAGAAAAATAAAGTATTTGTTTTTATTGAAAATTTTATTATCTTTTATCAAAAATATTGATTAAACACTATGTGACACCTGCACTGTATTAGGTGCTAAAGATACAAAGACAAGAACCAAATAGTCGTTACCTGCAAAAAGCTTACATTCTAAATGGAGAAACATCATGAACATACAGAGATAGGTATATTAAAATACACACATACATACCAGATGTAAAGAGATATACATAGAGTTATACCATTGATCTTCTCCTCATCCACAAATGTTCCACACCCATTTTTATGAACTCTGAAATTCTTTTATCTGATTGTAATCAGTTGTCATTCCACCTCTCACTGTGCCTTGCAAATCTAAACCCCATTCTTCATCCTAACCATTAACTTCATTACCTCTACCTCCTAGTTCTTTCCTAGGACACCATCCTTCCTTCACCATCCACTCTTTTTGCTTCCTTGCCTTGATCCCCTGGTAAACTAGTTCAGCTCTACGCTATCCTCTTTTCTTGAATCCCTTACTTCTTTATTCTAAAGAAGATCACAGAACAGACAAGGCAATAATTTCCATAAGATAAGAGAATCCTGAATTTAGAGCTACACAGAACCTCAGTCTTTGTCTCTGTCTGTCTCTGTCTTTGTCTCTCTCTGTCTCTCTTTCTCTCTCTCTGTCTTTCCGTCTGTCTCTCTGTCTCTCTGTCTCTGTCTCTCTCTCTCTCTCTCACACACACACACACACACACACACACACACACATCTTATGTCCTTGGAAAAGAGGATTTTGAAAATTCTAACTACATTGTTACAAATAAAAGCATGAAATCATTCAAACTCTTAATATAATCTTAGTTCCTCAAGACTGAAATAGTATGATGAATGGCAGAGGGCAGGAGCAAGCATTAATTCTATTGATTTGGCAGCCAGGTAGCATAGTTGATAAAGAACAGGGATTTAGATTCAGGAAGACATGTTTGAATCCTGCTTTAGATACATGCTAGCTGTCTAACTCTCAGCAAGTCACTTAAACTCACTGTGCCTCTGTTTTCTCATCTGCAAAACGAGGATAACAATATCTTGCAGATTGTTGTAAGGATCAAATGAGTCAATACACGTAAAGCATTTTGCACACCTTAAAGTGCTGAATATGCTAGCTATTATTGTTTATTATTACTATTGCAGGTCCAAGCTCATCATAGTGGTTTATTTTCAACTTAAATATTTAAAGGCATATTTCAATTTTGTTGCTAGATCTCCCTAGTAATATATAATAAATGAAATAAATATAGTAAATTCAGATAAATGAAATAAAAGTAGGGATCTCAGGTGAATACATAGAAGGACTAGAGCTCTGTCCAGAAACCAACTAAATTGAATGCTTCTATCTCTGGGAACTTCTGCCTTTGAGATCAGCTGAACAACAAAGACTAGGAGATTAGTGCTACATTGCTCCAAATAGTTGAATAATAGGGACTTTTTAAAGTATTATTTGGCTTGTTTTTCTTTGGTCAGTGACTAGAATATGAATAGCAAGACTTCTTTTTAGGGCAAAGATAGTGGACATTATAGTCAAAGTGAAGACTGCAGTGGTAAGCAGAACTGGACTTGGAAGTCAGGAAAGACCTGGCTGGGGTCCAGTTCTGACTGAACAGTTTCTAGTCGTGTCATCTTGGGCAAGTCACTTCCCTTCTATGAGATTTAGTTTTTCAATTTAGAATGGGGACAATGTTTGCATTATCTACCTAACACGGTTCATGTGAGAAAACGTACTTTAAAAAAAAAACAACTTTAAGTTGTTACATAAATTGTTAAATAAAAAGATTTTTATTATTATTAATCAAAATTACCAAATAGGCAAAATTTGCTTTTGACAGCCGTCCCCTTTCCACATACCTGCTCACCATTTAGGTTTACTGTCATTTCATGAATTGGATTGAAGAACAAACAGCAAAGTTTCCATCTTTTTGTTTTTTTATTTGTTTGGCAGAGATTAGAAAACATACTGCCCTCCCTAGTCTACCCTCAATCTAAAAAAGAGAATAAAAATCTCTCTTCTTCAAACTCTCTTCTTCTAATTCTCATATCAAAAAGCTCTATGACTAAACTATGAAGAAATATTACATAGCTGACATACCTCACAAAAACTTTGGCATTGGTTTTTCTTTAGCTCCCATGATTCTTTGCATGGTTCCAGGCACTAGGAGGAAATGGAAAAAGTATACATTAGAATGAAACAAAACAAGAAATAATGCCAACCTGAACATTTTTTTTATACCTTAACTACATCCAATTTAGCTGATTAAAAAAAAAGTTCACAAAACCATATTCTTGAGTTTGGCATTAGTACTGCATTTAATGTATAATAAATAAAAGCAGACTTAGTGAACTTGACTGGAGAGTCACAGGGTACTACATTAAATGCTAAGAATGGAAATACCACAATAAAAGCAAATAAAAATGTTATATATTATGGAAAATTTTTAAAGAACATGAAATGATCCAGGATATCTATGTAAAACTTTATTAGAGCAAGATAGCATTGTACGCTGGAAAGTATATTACACTTAGAGTCAAGAGAGTTGGGTTCAAATTCCATTTCCTATAGTTGGTAACGTGAGTGTGGAACACTCAACCACCTCAAGCCTTAGTTTCCTTATCTGTAAAATGGAGATAAAAATTTCTGTAGTACCTATTTCACAACTACCTTTCTAATAAGGCAGGGCAAAACCCATGATATCTTTTTATAGTTGCAATGATTTTAGCCATCTAATCCTATTTTAAAAAAAACCTGCATTTTGTCAATAAATATATGGACTGAAGATATCTTGTAAAATTGCATACTAATTAACATTAATTATTTAAACATTATCACTTCTTAAGCCCAAATACTAATTACAAAGAATGTCACAAAGCAGCAGCCCAGCTTTTTCCCCCAAAGGTGAGGAAGGGAAGGTAATAAGAAAAACAATCTACTTTGTAAGAAGAGCATTTGGGTTCTTCAATTCATAGCTCATGCCTTTAGAAAACAGGTTCATTTTCAGAACACAGAGCAGAGAGTCTGCTTTGCAATGTATCTTACCTACAAAATACACAGGGAATCTCAAAATATTAGTACATATTAAGCTTTAATAAACATACTAAATTTAAACTGCTCTAAGATTTTTTGAGATACCGTGGGGGGGGGGGTGATAGTGCATGCAATCCTGTGAGGTAGATAATGGAAGCCTGACATTTGCCATATGTGGGTACCATCCTCACTGGCTCCTCCCTTTCACTAGCATCCTCTAAAACAGACTAAAGATTCAATTTTCAAACTAAAACTTTATTGGAGGAATATTGCTCTAATCCCATTGGGAGAGACCAAGGAATGTGTTCTGAGTTAGAAGCCAGGAATCCTGGGTTCAAATATTAGCCCTACCATTTATTTAGAAGCAGCTAGTTGGCACAGTAGATAGAGCACTGGGCCTGAAGTCAGTAGCCTCAGGGTGACCCTAGGAAACTTAAGCTCTGTTTATCTATTTCCTCATCTATAAAATGAAGATAATAATGGAATCTAACCTTCCTGGGCATCTAAGTGGCACAGTGGATAGAGTGCTGGTCTTAGAATCAGGAAGACCTGAGTTTAAATCTGATCTCAGATACTTACTAGCTGTGTGACCATGGGCAAGTCATTTAACCCTGTTTGCCTCAGTTTCCTCATCTGTAAAATGAGTTAGAGAAGGAACAGCAAAGCACTCCAGTATCTTTGTGAAGAAAAGCTCAAACGGGGTCATGAAGATTTGGAAATGACTGAAACAACTCAACTTGTTGTAAAGATCAAATAAGATAATCAATGTAAATTGCTTAGCACAGAGGCTGGGATATAGTAAGCACTATAAAAATGTTTGCTATAATTATTATTATTACTTACAATCTATTAGGCTTTGGTCAAGTCATTTAATTTCTCTGGGTCTCAATTTCCTTATTTACAAAATTAAGTCATTGGACTACATTACCTTTGAGGTTCTGTCTAGCTCTAAATCCATGATTCTCTTATCTTATGAAAATTATTGCCTTATCTTTTCTAGGTTTTTTAGAATTAATTTTTTTGAGCTAAAAGACCTGTTTGGATGTTGGGGGTTGTCTATTTTCCCCTGCTTTTTGGGAATACCTCTTTTACCATTGACTTTGTGTCTTCTTTTGGAGTGCAAACAGTTTTGAAAGAGGGAATTTCTCCCTTCCATCACACCAAGATGTAGTAAAAGCTACTTACTGTACAAGTGTATATCAGTGGTAGAAACATGCTTATGTATAGCTTGAAATGATGAGCTCAAGGACACTATTTCTGAATGTTAACCTCCCATGTAGTAGACAGTGGGATTCTGAATTCCCCAGAAAGCATGATCGCGTAAATTAGTCTTCAAGCCAAGGAAGTGAAATTTCCTGGGCAGCACCAGCTTTAGGAATTGTCTTGTGGTTAAACTCAAATATAGAATTCTTTGAGGTTGAACTCTTGGGCACAAACCAACCAAAGGTAGAAGACTATTTTTTCAATAGCACACATCTAAGAAAAGGAAGAGAATCTCACTCAGCAGCTGAAGAACTAAAACTAAGGCATGAGGATGAAGAGACAAGAAATCTGGACCTTGATATAACTATTATCACCATGAGTTGATTGTATAGTAAATCCAAGTAAGTACATGAAAAGGGTAATGAATGTTTAGTAGACCCCAAAATGTGTTTGAGGTCAAGAGTGGGTCGAATGGGCTATTTGAAAGCTTTAAGTTACTTATATGTTCATGGATCCCTATGAATCCTTGTCCAGAATATTTTCTGGAAATGGGGAGGGGTAGGAGGTGGCACATAATAAAAGCCTGTCCCATATCTGATACATATATTGTACATTAAAAGATTATAAGGCTTGAGAACTGTTACCCACATTTGGAAAAAAAATAGATATGAACTAAATCTAAGTTTTATTGCAGTGATTTCCTCAGACTAAATTCTGCTAAAAGTGTAATGAGGCAAAGAAAGAAACTGACTCTATTTGGTTCAGGTTGCCAGGATCAGATCTAGTTTGTGTGAGACCAGAATCTTTAGAGAGCAGTGGATGATACATTACATTGCTTTGACAGAAGGGTGGTAGGTAGAATATTATTAGGAGAGACTAGAAGCAGGGAGACAAATAAGCTATTGCAATAATCCTGAGAAGAGTGATGAGGACTAGAATAAAGGTGGTAGCTGTGTCAGGCAGGAAAAGAAGACAGATTCAAGAGATGTAGAGATGTTGTGCAGTAAAACTGAAAAGATTTAGCAACTTCTTGGACATGGTGGAGATGGAGGGAAGATAGGAAGCACAAAATAATTCTATGGTTGTGAACCTAAATGACTATAAGAAGAGTAGTGTTCCCAATAGAAACAGGGAAGCTAGGAAGATGGAAACATAAGGAGCTCCATTTTAGACATATTGAGTTAGAGGTTTCTATGGACATTCAGGTGGAGCTGTCCAAAAGACAGAGATGTGGGTTTATAAACTCAAGAAAGAGAATAAGGCCAGCTATGTAGCCTGGGGAGTCCTGTGCATAGATGGAAAATATTAAACTCATGGGAGGCAGTGAAATCATCAGTTAGCTGCTCCTCTTCTTCTCCCTTACCTACCTTACCTTACCCCCTTCCCCTCAAAAAAACATACTAAATTTACTTCTAAGCAGCTTCCAAAATCCTCAGACACTCGAGTCAAAACAAATACCTTCTAGTCTACTTTGGCCAGTTTTCAAAATGCTAATGATAGCTAAGCATAGCTATCAGCTTGGGATTCACACTTATTCAATTCTACATCTCTGTGGTCTGTCACATTTAGCCAAATTCATTTTAAAGTTATAACTCAACTTCTATTTTTCTTTGCAAAAGAAAGCATCAAGTTATATTTTAGAACAAATATGTATACATATATATACATATGTATATAAATTATGCCTCCAGACCCATTGAAAAGACAAAAATCACTGTTATTTTCCTATGACCTGAAATACTTGAGTAATGAGCTTTTTAATAATTTATATGCCAAGATTTGCATATCAATTTATCACAGCTACCTCTGGGATTTTAAGCATATATTCTACTTTCCTTATTTCTAACAACAACTTATCAGTACAACTGAAAAATATAATGCAAAGATGTTATCAATGACAGCCAATATTTTCTTATAACAGCCTGCTACACAAAGTAACAGACAAGAATGTGTGTCTGGGGGTACCAAGCTGAAAGAAACCCCAGAAATAGTTTGCCAAAAGCTCTATTTCTGGGGTATTTTGTCATTCTTTTGGCCAATAAAATAATTTTAAACAAAAGTTTAAAAGAGAAAATGACAGACATTCCTCTCACACCCCATATAGGAAAAGCATATTCCCCATTTTCCAAGATAATTAAAAATGCTTGCCAAGAATCAGCAGTTCAAAGTCCTTCTGTGATAGTAGAGAATGTGAGAGAAAGAATGTCATGAACAATCATCTGCTTTGGAATTCATTACAGGCAACAGCTACAATTACCATGATATTTTATTGCATGTGACTAAAGAAAGAGTAAGACAACACAAACTTGATGTTTTTAAGGATTTTACTTGGACTGAACCTGGTTCTAACATTGACTGCTGCTTCAAATGCAATAAAAAAAGGCTTCAAAATTCAATGTGAGTCCAATACTAAGAAGGGTCTTCAAAAAGTTGTAAGAACAATGGACTTAAGAATATGAAGTAATCTCAGGTTACTTCTCTGATTTTTCTTCTCTGAAAGTCAGTGTTTTTTTTTACATGTCCTTTGTAGTTGATTTGGGTATTTGTAATAGATTAAATAACTTATTTACTCAAAGTTGTTTTTAAAACAATATTGCTGTTATTGTATACAATGTTCTCTAGGTTCTGTTCATTTCACTCTTCATTATTTCATGCAAGTCTTTCCATGTTTTTCTAAAAATCATTAAGCTCATGATTTCTCAACATCCAAATATATTCTTGACAGTCAACCATCTGCTAATGAGCCTCTTCTAGCTAAATTAGGTTAATAAAATACTAGCTCTAAATCATAACTTTATTAGGCCTGACCAAAGCTTACTCTCCTCAAGTATGGCCTTTAAGAATCCAGTATCTCCTTCATGTTTAAGAAGTCTCTTTAGTGTGGGAGTACTATGATTGTCAAAAAAATCTGAAGCATAATTTCAGAT